TAAGGGTGGTTTTAGTTCAAAAATTTCCGCAGAATTTACCACAGAATCACTGTACTGTGCCGCAGAACAATCACTTTGAAGTTTCGTTACGTGCTTGTCAAGATCAGACAAATGTGTTCAGTGTGTGACAAAGGACCACAAAATGAAATCACTGAAAATTGGGTGACAGAAGCACAAAGCCCGTGCATCTCGCAGGGAGCTATGATCGCTTAAAAAATAATGCACAAACCAGCAGGTGCGAAAGGTATCTCGGCAGTTGTAACAGAAGTACCCGGGAATTTCTGTTTTGGTCGTGTTTCTGTAACAGAGGTGTCCGATAGGTGTTGTTCCGGAACGGCAGTCATAGCAGGAGCGGCAAGAGGTCGTGGACGATGAAGCTCATGGATAGTGGCTGGAAGACGAGACTCCTCCATCGGCAACTGCTCAAACCAATATTCGCCGGTTGAATCATAATAAAGATCATCCTCAGCATCGGACAGTGGCGGTGACGGGGGTAACCATGTCTGAAAAATGTAAGAACATTTAACAAATTCGAAAAACAATTTTTATTTCTTTTTTGAAATATACGCCGAATTTTCAGCAGTGTTTCAAACCAAAGTTGTTAAGCTTGTAACCCCGCCAGAAGATGAATCCAACGTTAGGATGGCCAGCAGGGTGGTAAACATGCAGTGCAAAACTGGACAAAGAAAAAGCTGCCGGCTGCAATGCTATAAACTAAAGCTGATCGAAAAATCAAAATATTTTCAGGCCAGATTTTAGCAGACAAAAAGCGAAAAAATTCCAAAGAATGGAAAAAAGCATTAAATAATTTTTGCTTATTTTGGTCAAATCAAAGATATCCTCAATACAGTTAGCTCAAGTGGTTGGATCTGGCTTTCACCAGGAATCTATGGTATTACTAATTTGAAAAAATTATGAGAAAATGCGCTCAATACTGCAAAATTTAAATAAATAACTTACCAACATTGTTTCGCCAGGAACGTCCAAGCAGATAACCTGTAATCAGTTATGCATTAATTGAAAAAAAAAAAAAAACAACAGATCGCTTTTTCTTAAAATCATTCTTTACATTTGTTGCTACTAAAGCAATATAAACACGAGAAGCTGGCAGCTTCACAGTTAGAGTATTATACTGGATTACACAGTTGCACAGTATTACACAGTTAGAGTATTATACCACAGCCGGCGTGCCAAACTTACCAGTTGCATAGTCACAAAATCAAACAAGTGAAAACTGCTAGCTGCATAGTTGTTTTATCATAATAGAAAGTTGCCAGCTGCATAGCTGGAGAACCACCAGACTGTGATGCAACGGAGCAACGCGCATCTGGGTGCAAAGACGTTTGTCGTCTCCCACTCAACCTTCTTTTTTTCCCCATTCGTTCAAAGTAGGACCTCATCTTCGCCTCCAAAAAAAACCTCAGAATGAAATCGTCAAGAAAATGCAACTGCTTAGTACGTTCGTGTGATTTCATAACATCTGACGGTTCCGTTTGGCTTCCTGTCGCAATTTTCGCTCTCTAGACCGCACTGTGTGTCTGGGAGTTTAGTCTGACTAATTTCGTAAAATAACGTCGAACTAAAAAGGTGAATGCTCTCGTTAAAAGCACCAACGCAAAGAATTTAACAAAAAATGCGTAGTAATGGAGACACACAAAAGTCGTCTCTGAATTAAGCAAAAACTGCCCCTTCGTTACAATACTCATCCAATGTTACGTCAAAAACAGTTCAAGACCGGCAAAATTTTGAAACAAATTCTGAGGAAGGTAGAAATTTGGAGTCAAACAAGGCAAATTTGGGGACAAAACAAATCCAAAGTAAAATTTTGAGGAAAAATCAATCTGTAATTTTCATGAAGGGAGATACGCATCCCTGTCTTTCATTCGTTGCCACTGACGCCTGGAATCGTGAAGAAATCCAGGCTGTAGTTGTTGGCGCAGTTTGATTCAGTTTTCCCATCAGTTTATGGTACCACCCAGTGCAAGTAACGCAGCGTTCTATGAGATAACAGCCTTCTGTTCAGTAACTTTTCAGCGCATGCTTCCAAGCACTAAGCCTCTGCTTGTCAGAAACTTCCGTGATCGTGCTAGTCCTAATTTTAAGAAC